TGTACTATACATGTAATTCATGATGGCACAGTATACTCCTCACAAAAATGTGTACAACAAAATTTTATCACATTAAAAATTACAACGTGCAAGGTAAACTAATACATAAACAATATTGGAATATCACACAAATAAATATAAAGAAAAACATGTATTGGAACTGGTTTATTATCAACTAGCATGTACTACATTACATCATGTTGTAATAATGTGAGTATCATTCAATATACAACTCACTTTATCTCTTGAGTCAACAGTAGCCCCTTTACTGAGTAACCACTGGACAGCATCACTCCTGTTACATTCAGCTGCTACATGTAATGGAGTGTAGTTAAGCTATAAGAAATAAACACAACAAATAAAGTACATACAAAATGATAAATTAAATCAATTTATTACACCATTATTATACAGTTCTTATAAAATCACAGAATTTTCAACCAGTAACTAATAATGCAAGCATAATAATTCAATGACTGAATAATTAGTTATAATGTATGGTATATAACTACAATGTATTTTATACCAACAATGTTATGTTGTGTGCTATCCTTCACAATAGAAATGAATACATTGTTTCCTCATAAAATGCAATAAAGATAATAAGGACTGATCCTTCAATAAACACATACCACCAGAAAGAAGGGACTATGAGTGTCATCAATAGGATACTGTGTTTAAGGAACATACCGTATTTCCTCATGGAAACACCTACTCCCAATAAATGCCCGTACCTGTATAAACGCCTAGAGACAGCATAAAACATTGACAATAAATGCCCATGCTTGTTTAGATGCCTAAGCCACACCCACTTTGCCCACGTGGTTACTGGCACACACTAAAGGCAACATAGCAGTTGTAGCTGAGAAGGAAGCTCATAGAAGAAGACTCCTTATCAATGAATTTAAATGTCTATCCTCATATAAACACCTACTTCATTTAAACACCCAGCAAACGGGTCTCTATAAGAATAAATGCATAGGTGCTTCCATGAGGAAATACAGTAATTACACAAAATTAATATAATAAACTGATTTATAACTAAACTGCAGGTACTTTCACATTATACAAGTCATACTAATACACTAGTTACGACATCATACACTTACCAGACCAGGATGATGCCAATTGATATCTGCCCCATTAGAGAGGGCAGTCCTCATTCCTTCAATATTTCTATTCATAGCTGCATCATACAACTGTCGGCCCTACAGTATTAACAAGTGAATGAGTGTATTATTAACAGTTATTATAATAGTAATATTAATCACTCCTATGTCTCATTATCACATAATCTCATTCAAACACAAAATCCACAGAATATGTAACCAGTGACAATAACCGACTATAAACAACACATAAACAATACATGTACATATAAAAACAACTTTTAATCGAAAAATACACAAACAACTGAGCCATTCATTTACATGTACTTGTATAACATATGAGAGTATTTATTGATGGGGAGAAATTTGAGAGAAATTGTCTAAATTGATAGGTTGGCCAATTAAATTTTGGCAAATCATTAACTCCTAACACGTGGCAGCTAATAATTGACAATAATTTGTGAGTTTCAATTTGGAGTATTCTTGTAATTTAAGGACTTGACAAATTTAATCCCTCACCAATAAATCCTGCAATACAGTACATGTACATGTATATCCTTATAAGAAAAGAGAGTGTCCCTCCCTCTACAAAGAGTGTGTCTGGTGTATTAGTATACATTGAATCATTGAGTATCTATGACTGGACACATAAGTAGGACTAGGACTAGGGTAGTAGGAGGAGGAACACCTAGTGACAATATTACATAAATACCCAGTGGAAGAGATACAAACTACTACACTACTA